GGCACATGCCACCATGCCCAGCTAATTTTTTTTTTTTTTAATTTGTCATAGAGATGAGATCTTGCCAAGTTGCCCAGGCTGATCTCGAACCCATGGGCTCAGGCAGTCCTCTCATCTCGGCCTCCCAAAGTGCTGGGATTACAAGTGTGAACCACTAGGCCCAACCTAATGTTTATATTTCAGTTGTATCCTAAGTGTCTTTCATAGCTGGTTTACTTGAAGTTAGATCCAAACGAGGTTATACATTACATTTAGTTGATGTTTCTTAAGTCTTTGTAACAATTTCCCTTGCCTCTTTTTTTTCTCTTGGCATTTATTTGTTGAAGGAACAGGTCATTTGTCCTGAAAAATTTTCTCACATTCGGGACTTGGTGGATTCATCTTCTGGTATCAACTAACACATTTCCCTATACCCTGTATTTCCTGTAAATTGAAAGTTAGATCTAGGTATTTAAATAAATTCACATTTTGTTTCTTCTTTTTCTTGGCAAAAACATTTTATAGATAGAGTTAAGTACTTTCTACATAGTGCACCATAGTGCTCATAATGTCTAATTGTTCCCTTTCTGTATTATAAGTATTGATTAATGTGTACAGGTGTTTTCATCCTTATGGTTTCAGCAGTCTTTTTTTTTTTTTCTTTTTTTGTTTTTGAGTCAGGGACCCATTCTGTCACCCAGACTGAAGTGCAGTGGCATGATTACGGCTCACCATAGCCTCAGACTCCTAGGCTCAAATGAGCCTCCTTCCTCAGCCGCCAGAGTAGCTAGGATTACAGACACAGGCCACCATGCCTGGCTAATTTCTTGGTGTGTGTGTGTGTGTGTGTGTATGAGGTCTCACTATATTGCTATATTGCGTGTGTGTGTGTGTGTGTGTGTGTGTGTGTGTGTGTGTGTGTGTGTGTGTGTATGAGGTCTCACTATATTGCTATATTGCCCAGGCTGGTCTCTAATTCCTGGGCTCAATCAATTCTTACCCCTTGACTTCCAAAGGTGCTAGGATTACAGGTGTGAGCCAATATGCCGGGCCTCAACAGCCATATTTTGCCATATTTTATCATTATCTGTATTTGTTGTTTGATGTAATACTCCAATTCTTTAATTTTTTTCTACATTTATTGCTGACATTTTATAAAGTTGACAGTATCAATCATTAGGGTAACCTGAAATGCAATTTTTACAGAAGAGGCAAGATAAATCTTTATTTCCTTACATCCATCAGTTTTCAGAATAATAAGTTGGTTTTATAGCATTTTACAAAGAGGAACCACTGTATTTTTTTAGGTATCATTATGTACTCATGAATCTTTAACATGTTGGTAATGCTTTATTCCATTACAGTCTTTTTTGATGTTCAGATTGTCTTATCTTTGATAAGTGAGAGCCTCTTCATGTTGACTTTTGATGGCTTTTTATTTTTTTTAATTTTTAATTTTTTTAGTTGGAGTCTCACTCCATCGCCCAGGCTGTAGTGCAGTGGCACTCTCATGGCCACCCCAACATCGACCTACTGGGCTCCGGCGATCCTTCCACCTGAGCCTTCCAAGTAGCAGGAACTACAAGCGCATACTACCGTGCCCGGCTAATTTTTTACTTTTTGTAAAGACGAGGTCTCACCAAGTAGCTAGGGCTGGTTTCCAACCCAACCCGTGGGCTCAGGCAGTCCACTTGCCTCAGCCTCCCAGAGTACTGAGCCACCAAGCCTGGCTGGCTTTTTATTTTTGACATGCCAAAATAGCAGTCTTTGATAGCTGCCTTGCTTCTGAAAGGATAAGGTATCCCAAGTGTACCAGGCTCACCTTTTATATTTTCTGCCCTGATGTTGAATTGGCCCTTTGTCTAAACAACCTTGTTCTTTGAGAAGTAGTATTTGAAGACCACAGTAGGTATTGTTTAAGAAAATCAAGCTTCATTTGAGTAAGCAGCCATCTTTTTGAAGTGTTTGCATTGTATGTTCTTTGTCTTTTTTAACAACACATTGTGCAAACTAGCCTTTTAGTTTCGCGTTTACTTTGAGACAGCTGTTAATAATTAGATGTATCTGGCACGTTTAGTGATTTATTATAAATTCAAAGTAGTCATATGGGCTGGGTGTGTACTTCCTTCCCATTTTTCTCTTTAGTACACTTCTTTATTCTGTTGGCAGGTTACTTTTCACTAGTAATTCCCTGCAATAGATCGTGCCTACAACAATTTTTTTCAGATCATTGAGAGTATGTTAACTTATTTTTGCAATGTAATGAGTGTTCCTTTTTAAATGTAAATTTTCTTTTCTTTCTTTTTTTTTTTGAGTTGAGGTCTTACTCTTTTGGCCAGGCTGGAGTACAGTGGCACAATCACTGCTCACTATAGCCTCTACCTCCTGGGCTCAAGCAATCCTTTCACCTCATCCTCCCGAGTAGCTGGGAGTACAGGCATGTGCCACTATGCCTGGCTAATTTTTTTACTTTTTTGCAAAGACAAGGTCTCACTCTGTTGCCCTGGCTGGTTTGGAACTCGTGGGCTTAAGCAGTCCTCCTGCCTCAGCCTCCCAAAGTATTGCAATAACAGGCATGAGCCACCATGCCCAGCTAAATGTAAATTTTAAGGGTGTTTTTGCTAAGTGCACAGTTACGTGGTCTGCCATACAGTTTGATTTATTTCCTCCTCTTTTGCTTCTTATATATGAAGAGAAGGGTAGTAAAGTTTAGCATATCTATTTCCCTTCTGCATTTACTGTGAAATCAAGTGATTGCTTTTTAGCCTGCCCTATTAAAGTGTATTTAACATCTTTAGGAATTTTATGACTTTTAAGAACATTTCATCAGGTATAAAATATACTGGAAATGCACTTTATGTTGTCCTGTATCACATAGTGAATGTCTGAATTTGGATATAAAATATTAACTAAATCTTGTAAGTATGTCTCATGGGGTTGTCAGTGACAAAGATACTATTAAATGGACAACCAAAGGGAGATTTTGCTGCTTTTGATACCTTCTCTTTTTCTAATCATGCTCTTCATATTTTGGCTTCATTGTGTTTGCATTCTTGCATTAGTGTATGCATTGTATTCTTGTGTTAGTATATCACACAAATAAGCCCTAAATGCGCTTTTTTCCAAAATGTGATTCTTAATATCTAGGATAATTTTATGTGCCCAGTGCTCGTCTGTTTATCTGGTTGTTTTTTTGTTTTGTATTTTTTTCTCTCTGTTATCTGTCTGTTACAGAGATAACAAATTTTCACTATCTTGCTTAATTTTTTATTTTGAGCATTTTAAAAATTCTCTGTGAGAATATGCTTGTGATGGCTTGTATTTTGTTGTTGTTTTTAATGCTTTTATTTATTTCTATAATTTTTTCAAATAGAGGCGAGATCTCACTATGTTGCCCAGCTGATCTTGAACTCTTGGGCTCAAGCAGTCTTCCCTGCCTTGGCCTCCTAAAGTGCTAAGATTACAGGCTTGAGCTACCATGCCCAGCCTTAATGCCTTTATTATTACTATTTTTCTCCCCTTAGATATGGGAGTATATTTAGTGTAAACCTGAAATTATGTGGGTTTCAGGGTTTTTTGTTTTGTTTTGTTTTTTAAGATTTACAACCTTCATACCTGTATATCTCATTGGATCAAAATTCTATATGAATAATAGATCAGGGTTCCTTTGTCTGATAACTTAAGTGTTCTGCTTTGGATAAAATTAGCACATAGCTTATTTTATTTAAAGTCAGAAAGATGAGGATTATGCATACTATCTAATTCTTAATCTTTGTACCCTGATGCATCCTAACCAGTTGTATGTCTATTTCTTGAGTTAGAAAGACTCTCAGTAAACTTCCTTCTCAACTACTATTCATTCCTATTGGTGTAATTTCTCTGTTTTTGGCTCACCGTCTCAGGAAGTACATCATTACCAACAGAAGCTCGTGACTCTCATTCCCAAGTGCCCTCCTATTCTTTCCTCTGTAGGACAGCCCATGTACTCTCGAGAACATGGTGCTGCTGCATCTGAGCGACTTCAATTGGGGACACCGCCTCCTCTGTTGGCAGCTCGTTTGGTGCCACCTCGCAACCTCATGGGATCCTCCATTGGGTACCATACCTCAGTGTCCAGTCCCACCCCTCTGGTCCCAGGTAAGCTTTGCTACAAATGGCCATCCACCTCACCCCATCTTTTGTACCTTAAACTGGCCAGCCTGAGGGTGATGTGGCATCCTGATCTGCTGTCACAAATTCCCACTAAAGCTCTTAAGTAGTTTTATTTTCTGTTATTCTGCTTCTCTGGTTTGTCTACAGTGGCCTCTAGACAATTAGGCTTTCTGTGTGTCTGCCTTCTCTGGTGTCCTTGGTATTTACTTTCAGTGTCTTGGTGACAAAGTCATGCTGGTTCCTTGAGCTAATTTCTAATCAGGTAGCTAGAAAGATAATATCTACTTGAATGTTTTCTAATTAATTAGTTATACAGTACAATAAAAACTAGGTTAGTTTTTCTTTAAAACAAAACAAAAATAAATATCTGATTTCTTGCTAACCGTGGATGAACATGCTCTTTTTTCCCAGTGCCCCTTGTATGAACTGGTTGTATATAATGTAGTGATTCTTGAAAATTCTTTCCTCCTATTGACATGTGTGTTTTGAAAGATCTGTGGAGTATTTTGTGCTTGTTTCATGAAGTTTTTTTAAAAAACATTTCTCACTTTGCCTTTAGATCTCAATTAATCATAATTAACTAAAGGACTATTAAGTTTATTGGGGTTCTCTGTATTCCTGGGAATTATAGCACAAGGTCATTTGATTATGTAACTTCTTTAAAACTCTCTGCAGCCTTAATTGTAGGAGATTTTCTGTCAGCAGTACCAAGTGGTAACTGAAAACTTTTAAAAATCATAATTTTCTGATCTGCTTTTTAAAGATAAAGCAGCATTCATTTTATATGTTATAGTGCTTTTAGAGTTGAATTAGCCAGGGAAGCTGTTATTTTACATATCATTTTCAAACCATATCAGCCTTAAAATACGTTAATTTAATAAGCAAGAATGCTAGATTTGCTTTTAAGCTAAGCATATTGTTATAGTGCTTGTTTCCATCAGGAAAACATGCTCCTGATTAAATACTGTTTTTAGTTATTTTAAAGAAATGAAAAGTATAAATGGGGATTAGAACAAAAGCCGACATGATTCAGTGTGAAACCCCGAAAGTACTCTTTGGCAGATAACTCCTAAGCATAGCTCTCTTACCATTGAGGCAAAAAAATTTGTTGGTTTTATTAATCATCAGGTAAGTTTGAGCCAAATACAAGCCTTGGGAATAAAATACAAAATTTATAATAGGAACATCGTTGTGATAATAATTTATTAAATTTTCTGAGCCATCTTTTGCTGAGAAGGGCAGCCATCCTTTGCTGAGAAGGGAGGTTACTTTTCAGCATGATTTAGCATTTTATTAGAGGGAAACAGTTTTTAAATCTGTTGATGCCCTTTTTGTACAATTCCATGAGCTGTTTTCAAAACCAGAAGAAAAGAAATTAATGGAGTTTGGGGAAGAGAAGAAATTCTGGCCATCATTTCTAATTTTTATACCAAATATTTCAAATCACCTGTAGTAGCATTTTATTATTTTAGCCTCATGGTAGCTCATTGATGTTTTGTGTAAGGAGAGAGTTTGCTGTGAATCTGAAGTTAGGGAAGCACAATATTCAGGGAAGAGGTTTAATCTTTAACCTAAGAGGGTTGGGGATGAGAAATTTGCGGGATTGAGTACTCTTGAGTTGTAGTTGTACTTAATTAGAAAGGGACTGCCAACTTAAATGCCTGTAGTGACCAGGAAGTTCCCCTAAATTAGGATAATTTGTTGATTTTATACTCTGAATCACAGAAGTGACTGACCAGTCTGAATGTACCTTGTCTTGTAGCTGAAACTAAGTATGAACCACATGAGAAATTTTTTCATGAAGGAAAGGAGATGCAAGGATTTCTAAATCACAATTACGAAAATCAGTGTCTTCGGTCAATCTTAACCCTTTCATGTAGAATGAAGAGAATATATTCTATTTGGAGATTAAAACTTTGAAAAATTTTTGCAAACACTAACAAAATAGTTATTTAGCATTAGAATTTTAAAAATTAAATTTTTAATTATAGAGAAAACACAGGAAATGTAATAAAAGTGAAATGAGGAGGGTGGTAGTAAGATGATTGCATTATAAATATAAAATTTCTTATTTAACTGTTCTATTTGAAGTGTGTCTTATGTATGAAACCAGCTGTTACCTCTCTAGTTTGAAAAAGTATAGATAACCAGATGAATGGATTGGTTTTTCTCCTTAATTAAAAAAGGAGTTGGTGAGACATAATAGATAACAAAGGCAACTCAATCAGTCCTTCATATATAGTGTTTGTATTCATGAAAATTTGTATTAAAGATGTTCACTGAAGTTTGGATTAGGTCATTAACCCACAGGGTAGAAGCGACTAGGTGAATGAATCTGGAAATATACCAGTATTTAAGAGTAGATGTAAATATTTACGTTCTGTGATATCTATAGTACCTTTTTTTTTTCACATCTGCTGCAGATTCAGTCAACCGTGGATCGAAAATATTTGTGGGGAGAAAGTAATGATTAAAAATAATACAAATTTTAAAAATGATATCGTATACCAATATATATATATACTATTTAGATATTTATTAGGTATTATAATTTAGAGCTGATTTATAGTATATGGGAGGTTGTGCATAGCTTATATGCAAATGCTACTTCGTTTTATAAGGCCCTTGGGCATCTGTGGATTTGGGCATCTGCAGAGGAGGGGGTGGTCCTGGAACCAGTTCTGCCGCAGATACTGAGAGCTAACTGTGTATTGAATGTGCTTATATTTGTTGAAGAATGTATGTGTGTGTTTTTTAAAGCAATTGTTTTATAATAATGAAAAATGGTTTGACCTCTGTCTGATTTATTACGTATTTCCTTTTTTTATTTTTCCCCCTCAGATACATATGAACCAGATGGTTATAATCCAGAAGCTCCTAGTATTACCAGTTCTGGTAGATCTCAGTACAGACAGTTCTTTTCAAGAACCCAGACACAGCGCCCTAACCTGATTGGCCTAACATCTGGAGATATGGATGCAAATCCAAGAGGTGAGAGTGCCTTGGACTTTTTCTGATGCTAAATGTTGTGCATTATTTGGATGTAATTATAACATTTGCTTTTCTGGCCTCATTTGAGGAAATTAAGGTCTTATATACCATCTCTTTGAAGGGTGCTGTGTCATCCTCTGATTTTTAAAAATAACTTTATCTCCAAATTTTGCTTTAAAGCTGTAGCTAGAATATACTTATTTATACATACAAATAATACTAATATTCAATTGTTTGTATTGGTAGGACTTTAAACTACTTTAGCTTTGTTGTTGGACATTGTTAAGATATTAGGTGTAGAAAGATAAAATGACTGGTCCCTTTCCCTCAAAGAACTGATCACTTAATGGCCTACTTTGTATCCTGAGAGCTATACTTGACACTAGTAATATTGAGAATGTATTATAATAATAAGATTATTATTTTACCATTTTAACACTTATGATTATAACCATAAGTTAAGACCATGACAGAACTTAGGAACAAACCTTAAAAATAAAAACCAGCCAGGCGTGGTGGCGCAGTCTGTAATCCCAGCACTTTGGGAGGCCGAGGCAAGAGGATTGCCTGAGACCAAGAGTTTGAGACCAGCCTGCGCAACTTGGTGAGACCTCGTCTCTACAATAAATCACAAAAAAAATTAGCCAAACGTGGTGGCGTGCATCTGTAGTTCTAGCTACTTAGAAGGCTGAGGTAGAAGGATCGCCTGAGCCCAGCAGGTCGAGGCTATGGTGGCCGTGAGCATGCCACTGTACTCCAGCCTGGATGACAAGAGTGAGACTACAACTCAAAAAACAGAAAACAAAAATAAAACAAAACCAAGATTAAATACAAGCATTTACCTTTAATATGGAAATGTGAATGATAACCTCCACTAAAGGTTGATTAATGAGTTTGATGAGATTCCAGATTCTTAACTCTTTTTTTTGAGTCAGAGTCTCACTCTGTCGCCCAGGCTGGAATGCAGTGGCATGCTCACAGCCACTGCAGCCTTGACCCGCTGGGCTCAACCTTCCAAGCTGCTGGAACTACAAGCACATGCCACCATACCTGGCTAATATTTTTTTTATTGTAGAGATGAGGTCTCACCAAGTTGCCTAGGCTGTTCTCGAGTCCCTGAACTCAGGCAGTCCTCTTGCCTTGGCCTCCCAAAGTGCTGGGATTCCAGACTTGAGCCACCATGCTCAGCCCCAGATTCTTAACTATTAATAGTTAGATTTCCAATATGTGATGTCAGTTTGAGTGACTGGCATTGATTTTCTGATTTAGTCATATGGTGAAAATTTTCGTGGTCTCATCTTTCTATCCTGATTTTTATTAAGTCTTCTTTACTACTATTAATAACACTATTACCACTATAGGATAACAGCTTTTGTATCAGGACTACACTAAATGTTTTTATATACATGTTATTATCTGTCATATTTCGTACAACTTTAAAAGAGGTACTATTTTTATTTTCTTTACAAGTGAAGAGACTGAGGCTTAGAGACATTAAAGAACTTGTTTAAGGTCATACAGCTATTAAGTGGCAGAATTGGAATTTGAACCCGGGTCTATCTAACTCCAAGAAATATGTTATTACCTTCTATCTTCTAAGGCAGATTTGTTACTGTATTACCTGAAATTAGTGGGAAGGTCATGATTTTAAGTCTTCCCTTTGCCACTGCCTGTGTGTGTGTGCATTCATACACAGTAATCATTGCATAATCTCTATCAGTGTGGAATTCATGTAATTTTTTATACTACAGACTTGCTTTGTCATCTTGGGCAAGTCAATGCACTCTGTTAAAATATTAGGCAATGTTGGGTGGTAATGATAACAACTATTTAAGGAAGACATAATGGCATCTCAAATTCTAGAATGCCCTGTAAGCCATCAATCACATTTAATGTCTCCTTCATTAGCCTTCTGAAAACACAAGTCTCACAAGGGCAAGGGTCATACCTATTTTATTCACCAATTTGTACCCAAGGTCGACTATAGTTGCTGAGCTACAAAATAGCTAAATGTTAAATGAGTGACTCTTTATATCATATATATCTGCCTATCATACAGATGAAATGGTACATACCCATATCCCTACCCCAATATCCAACCCTATATATGTTATTCTTTGCTTGGTAGAGTTGCTAAAGTTAGGGAAAATACTCAGGGTGTAATAGACATAGTTTTGTTTTATTACTTTCTTCTTATTCCATAGACCTCTTCCTACTACCCACAGGTAACCTATTGCAAGATAGTTTCTCATCATATTTTAGTCTTAACTATTGTGAGTGAAATGTGCCACAAAATGGCTTTGAATTTTTTCCCCTAACTTTTAGTTTTGAAAAATTTTAAACCTATAGGAAATAAAAAGAAATACAGTAAACACCTTAATACCTTCCTTTATCAGTTGTTAATATTTTGTCACTTTTGGACATGAATACTTTTATATTCTCTCTTCTTTTTCTTCCCTCCCCTCACTTCTTTTGCTTGAATCACTTGAAAGTAAGTGGTAGACATTGTGGACTTAAAATCCTTTCTAAGAATAAGACACAGTCTTACATTACTATACATAAGGAAATCATAATTTCATAATAATACCCAGTGTTCATGATATGAACTTCTTGTTGATTCACATCAGGAGATAAATAAGGTCCTTCTGTTAGTGGTGCTAAGTTTGAGTGCTTGCCTAAGGTGATAATTGTTAGATCTCTCCATTGTAAAAGTGGATAATTTTTGGAGCGATACTTTGGCACCATATAAATATCTTGTTCTCCAACAACCTTTCAGCAATATTTTTTGCATCCATTTTTGGCTTTTGCCTGAGTCGATTATTACATTGAGATTATCATTAACTTGGATTTCTATCTGTTCTTTCAGAAACAGGATCTTACATGGTTGCCCAGGCCTGGAGTGCAGTGACATGATTATAGCTCACTGTAACCTTGAACTCTCAGGCTCAAGGGATCCTCCACCCTAAGCCTCTCAAGTAGCTGGCACTATAGGCAAATGCAACCACATCTATTTGGGGATTTTTTGTTTGTTTGTTTGTTTTTTGAGTTGAAGTCTCACTCTGTTGCCCATACTGGAGTGCAGTGGCTGCTCCCGGCCACCGCAGCCTCGA